AGAGAGAGAAAGAGAGGGAGAGAGGGAGAGGGAAAAGGATTGATTATATATCTCTGAAAGTAAATACTAGTATTTCAAAAAGTTAACCTTATTAGGAATACTCAAACAGAAATAAGTTTAATATAAATTTATTTTTATACACTTTATTACTTTTAAGTGTGGATAATCCATGTACCCTTTTCAAATCAAACATTATACTCTGGGAGGATGGAGGCAGTTTTAGGGCTCTGTATAATGAGGGATCAGACAGGAAAAGAGACAAGACTCACTGTGTACAAAGACAATCTCTTCTGTCACTCTCTAGGTAATTACAGAGGGAAATTAGTGCTAAAGTTGCAATTTGAACAATAAAGTGACATAAAGGGAATTTTATATCTTTAAACATAAGTTGTACATTGAAACATCTCTGTCACAGTTTAATTTTTTTTCCTCTTAAAGAGATGGGAGTTTTATTGGCACCATAAGGAAGGAAGCTGTTAGGCATGATGAAAATCCTTCTGAAGCAGTAGAAGAAGTGCCAAGATCCACATATTTTTAAAAAAGCATAAATCAGTGGTTAAGTTACTAAATTATGTCTGGTAACTTCTAGAAATGCCAAGTTGTAGTTGCATTTATCCTTCAAAATAAAAATAAATACTTCAAAAATTTCAGTGATCTAGTTATATTGTACAGTATTTAATTTTCATACATAATTTAAATGAAATTTGCTTTAAAACCAGATATTTTACAGCATTTTTCATATGTGAGACCCTCTCTCAATAAAGTATTCAACCTTGAAAGCCCATTCCAGATATTTGGAAGGAAATAAAAACATAAACATACCGAATCTGAAAGGAGTGCTCTGTTAAATTTCATTAATTAGGTTAAAGTTGCATAATGTTTCATGGAAAGCAATTATATTCAAGTTAATTTGGCAGTAATTCTTAAAGCTGAAAATGCACACATAAATCCCAGAGCACTTATCTGCCCCTCTTTCATCACCTTGCAATAAGCGAGATAAGACACCTGGAAGAGCATGTACAAGAAACTTCGTGCATACTTGCACATATAACCAGCAAAGAGATAAAAAGTTCATGAAGTCAAATCACTGACTTACCCCTGATCTCTGCCCCGGATGCGGCTGTGAGCCAAGACCTTGTCATAATAACCATTGGAATCTGCAGAGTTAACAGCAAACAACAGCAGCAGGGATAATATGGGCAGGAGAGGAATCATCTTGAGTCTCTCCGTTGCAGTTAGTCCACGAAGAGAACTGGCAGTAGGCTTTGGAGGACTCAGAGTTTATATACATGTCAGAGCTGTGGGAGGGAACACTGGATCAACCTGAGAAGCTGAACTCTCTCCAAGAAACATCAGCAACTTCAAGCTGCCCCCAAAGATCTGTTTGGGTTACTTATATTTTGAATATACTGAAGCTCTTTTTATTCTCATTATAAAGAATATTTTTAACAACCCAAACTGACTCATATGTTTATATTTCAGTTTTACACCTTTGCGTTTTAGAAAGTTTGCTTTTTAACTGAAGATGATTTGGTCTGTGTTTTAAGAAATAGTCTGCAATCTATCGCTTTCAGAGTATAAGTCGCAGGATTAGTATTTGATCTTCTCACAGTTGCCACATTCACTCCACATCAGAACTGAGAGGTTAGTACTTTTCACCAAAGCAATGGTAAATTTGCTGCTCACAAAGGGCTGAAGGGTATGAATTTTAAAGTGCTGGTAAGAGTTACTATTTGCATAAAATATCAACTCAGAATTCTAAATTGCTCTACCATGTCAGAGACTTCACTTTTTCTTGCAGCTCTACTAACCTGGGAATTAATTCCCATTTTCTTTTCTTTTCAAATCTCATGGAATATGTAGAGTTAATATATATCTGGAGTTCGCATATAACTTCCGGCAAGCAGATAAACTGGCCAAGTTTCTTCCACTTTTGGAATAAAGCAGAGAGGAAAAAAGGAGAGCTTTATTGTTTCTTTCATTACATACTCCACATGATGTGGGACATCTGCAGACAGCAACATGTGCTGATAACCACCGACCAAAGCAGCCCTGACTGGAAACAAGGACTGCTGATCCAAAAGCAGTGGAATCATTCAATACATATTAAGAGATAGGTCACTGCCAAAATCATTCTTCTGATTTTATCAGGCATAATTAATACCGCTTATCTTCACACTAAGCAACTCCTAGTCAAGGAATGTGATTTTTGTCACTTCATGTGTGATATTTCAAATGTTCAGAATGCTTAGGACAAAGGAAAGCTGAGTATCAGAAGTCAACATTTGGCTGACAGTAATAACTGCTACAGGTCTCCTTGAGCAAACAACATACACAGCAGCTTAGAGTAAAAGTATAATTCTAAGACACTTCGTTGCACCATCTGTAATGGTGTGTTGGTGTTGTTTTCCCAGGGGAAATACAGAGAAATTTTGCCTGGACTCTTTGTGCTGTGCAGTTTGGAAGGTCTTTTAGGGAAGGCTGGATTGGGTCAGAACGGATTCCAAGAATTACAGTTAAGCTTCCTATGGGATTTTGCATTCAGTTTTTAAAATAATCCTGCAACTTTCTGCTAGCTTATTAAGAAAGCAGACAATAAAACAACACATTCTGAAATATGATTCAGACATCTGTTTTTCAGTTTGAACATTTTGGTATTGAGGTATTGAAAATGTAGGAGCAGTTCACAAGGAAAACTAGAATAAGAACTACAGAAAAGGTCAATTTCATTCCTTCACTGGTCTCCTGTGGGAAAAACAGTATTAATCTGTCATAATATTTGTCTCAATTAAAGTATTATAAGTATATTTTTCTGATTTATATTTTACAATGGCCTTTTTCTTATGTTATACATATGGTGGTATGTAACAGTTTATTGAGTACAACAGAAGAACTGTTTTATGAAAATATGTCCTTCATTTTTGTAAATTAGCTTCTAGGACATTCTTGATAACATTGTGATGTAAAAGACTAGTGATTGCTGATAGCTGATAAAGATGTATATTTTTAAAAGAATCATGACATACGCTCATACAGTAAAAGGAGGATTTTAAGTCTCTCCTGACAGGGTTTCAGACTAGTGATTTTAAATCATTCCAACCTGAGAAGCATGTTTGGAACTTGTAAAAATCCCCTGGAGGTTAACAAATGCCAGCCCTCAGCAAATTTTATAGTTAGGATTAGTTAAAGAGGGTCTTTAAAATGAGATCCAGACTGTGTGGATCAACTAGTTGCAAGTTTGGAGGTTGAAGAACAATCTAGGAGAAGGAAAATGTTATTGAAAATGTGAAAAGATTATAGTACTATAATTTAAAAAGCTAAAGTCAGTCCTGAGTGTGATATTATATGGCGGTAACAGGAGGAGAACAAGGCTCTTCTTTGAACCCTGATCTATATGTGGCAGTTTGTGATACAGCGAAGGAAGGAGACAGTTTCAGAAAACACAAAGAAAAGATAGAAAACATATGTTGGACAATCTGGGGAAGGACACAATTCTTCCCTTCCAGAATACTCATCAAAAGTTAAATATTCACCATCTCTGTCTCCTTCTGTGTCTGTCAGTCTGTCTGTCTTTCTCTCTCGCCACAAAAGACCCTTGGTTTTCTGCTTTTGTGATCTATGAAAGAATCCTGACCCAGTGCTGGCCACACACTTTTTTTAGCATTTGGATGGAAGATTGAGATAAGTCTGACTTTACAGGGTTGAATAGAAATGTAAGTCATTAATGAAAAATAAATGGTTTATTATGTAACTGAAGAATACTAATGTGTCTGAAAGACAAGGATATTTGTCTCTAGCTATCAAGATGTCGCTGTCTGGCAGTTTTCCACCTCTCTAATGGATCTCTGTAATGTGCCCTGTACCCTCTGGGGACTATGAAGTCATTGTACTATCACTGTACTGACACCAGCATGTACCCATCCTAAATTTGCCTTGCATTGTTTAAGATTGGACACGGACTATGGAGTCAGCAAACCCGGATACTCAAACCAAGTGTAGATGTTTAGAAAGTGGTATTTTCTTTCTTTTGAGTGATTCAGAGTGGTTTTTTGCACCGTATGTTTCTAAACCCCTCCTTTTTTGTTTTTAAATAGATAGGCCTTGGGATTTTGAAAACATTCCCTGAGTATCACTTTGCTTTTTAACAGACTTTCAAAAGTATAAATTGCACATAGCAGAACTTACTTGGAAAACATGACAAAGCCTGAGGTTAGTGCTGCGCCTTGTGAGGGAAGCACTCCTCCATATGCAAACACTTTGGCCATGAGGGTTCTAAACCTCACTAACACCAGGCTCAGCAGCCCTACCAACTAAAATTTTGGAAAATATCCAGTGATCTTTATTGAGTGAAGAAATAACTTTTCTTAAAAATTTTAGGCTCTTCTGAATTAAACGAATTGTTCAAAGAACTCAAAGTAAGCAAAAATTAAACTTTGTGGGTTTTTTTTCCATCTTTAAAATGTGGAAAGAAATAAAATTAAACATCAATGGGCAGTTTAGAGAGATATTTGCATTGACGCATTAAGTCAACAAGAAGTGGGAAAATCCAAGGCATCCTCCGAGGAAAGTATTTCCAATGGATTTCCACTGAATTTTCTAAGTCTTCCAAACATCTGGTCTAACATACCTAAGACTGAAATCATATTTAGAAACAGACATGGTTAACAGCACCTCACACATGCAGTGATGCTTCTTTGATGCTAAATCGAGTAAAAGTAGAGAAGAATCCTTTGCGAGGCGGAGTGCTGCAGCACGTTACCATCCTTACATCCAGCTGGACTCTCATTTCCTTTGCAAACCTGTTCTGTGACGGATTCACCTTTATGTTAAGTAGTCGGTGTAGCTATTTGATCTTAACTGAGCAGGACATCTTTGCAATTTTAAAACTACGTGGTTATTAACAATAGTCTCTATTAGCAGCGTTTACTTGCATTTCTCTGGAGACATCTAGTGGAGAAAATACGGCACACAATGTTTCTAAAAGCACAGACCTATCTATTACATTTTGATTAAAATAATAATCAATTTGGAGTTCATATAGAAAAGCTGATACATTTTACATGTATCTCAAAGTGCTGAGCAACTGAAGATTTATAACAGTTTCTTACATGCAATATATCATAGCTGATGATGCAAATTGGCCAAACAGCTGATATCAAATCTAGACAAATGTTGAAAAGTCTAGTCCTTTTTTCTGCAGCTATGTAGCTGAAAAGTGAATCACTTCATTTTTAACTGAGTTTTTTCTATACCAACAGAGAATAGTGACATGTGAATTAAGAAAGTATGAAATAACTATTATTATTTCTTACTTAAAAGCACAATTCAAAAGACCACTTCCACAGTGGGATTTCATGCCTTGGTTCTCTGGCATTTGTATACTTTTTACTTCCCACTTCTGGCACTGTTGGTACTTTTAACATTACACCTCTCACCCTCTCTCTCATTCGGCTTCAGGTAGCTTTGTTTCAGAGATAATCAAGACTGCTGCCATCCTTTGTCTACACAACTTGCAATATTCCTTCAGATCGTACTGCGAGATAAGAAATGGATAATTGTTGCAATTAACATAACTTTATCACTATTCATCTCTTACAGCATGAGACTTTCAAGATCCCATCTGGCATGTTTGGTCTGCTGAAAGAGTGGTTGCAATCATGAGAACTCCAGAATTTACAATCTCCATTTGAACTTCTTGGACCCTTCCCTCTGAAACAGCAACATGTCTCGGTTTCATGTTTAGACAGCGACCTCCTTTTGGTACTTTCCTTCCGCTGATCTGCTCATGTCCATCACTGGCTTCATCTTCCTCATCTATTTGCAGTGATGTAATACATGGTGTGTATATTTTCTCTCTACACTTGGGAAGCTTTTTCACTTCTTTCCATATAAAAAAATGCCACCACGCATTGAGTTGTTTCTCATTTTTCACCACAATATGTTTGTTATGTTCAAATAAATCGAATGTATCCTGTTGTAAATATATTATGTTCTTCTATTTCTCCATGTATCAATCATTCGTAATCAATTTCCAGTTCACACACTGGGTATTACAAATTGAGATTCTTTTTCTTTCATAATTTAATTTTTATTGTTTTTTGAGACGGGGTCTCACTAGGCAGTTCAGCTTGGTTTTGAAATCACTTATGTGGCCCAGGCTGGCCTCAAACTCACACAATCTTCCTGCCTCAGCCTGCCAGGTGCTGGGGTTATAGGGGTGCACCACTATGCCTGGTGAGATTGCTTCTTTTTGCTCTTTCATTTTGCTCACTTAAA